GCCCTTTTTCTAAGAAAAGGCGTGCCGGCCTTTTGCACCTTTCCGTGCACCGCCGTGTGCACAAGTTGCCCCCGGAGCCTCACGAGGCCGGGGCCTTTCAGCCATGCCGAACGCGAGCGGCGTGTGGTCTCCTCAGCTACGCCAGGACTTGTCGGCTGAGGATCGATCCGAGCCCTCATTCGATGAGCTCCCTACCACCCTGCGCCCAAACGGTCGAGCTGACGAGCCACTGGATGGAAGGATAGCAGGTCACATAGGTGGTGGGCTTCCTTGCGGTCCCTTTACTGGAATGACTGGACAAGGTCATGACCCTAGATTGACCGCACACGGACCGATGCCTGACATGATGTTTCGAGATGTCTTCACACCTCCACAAGCTCCCCATGTGTTTGAGCAAGCTCCTTGCGGGTACGCCAATAGCCCTTTCCAGTTCCACTTCATGAGGCCAGGTGGAAAAGGTCATGTACATGAAGGCTTCACCCCGTTTGGACTTCATGCTGAACACCAACAGCGCCCTGGACTAGGAAGTCGTCAACGTGGACGATGAGGAGGACAAGGAGGTGACCATGTGGGTCTCTCTTGTAGAACATCATTTTGTCATACCTGTGTTGCGTCAAGTTCATGTCCAGGAGCGTCTTGCAGATATGTGTGCTCCAGGTCTTGGGTCCGCTTGCAAAGCCGTAGAGGTTACCTTGGATGAGGTAGAGGCGATGTGGAAACGTGTTTGCGAGGCGCTGGATGCCATCTCGTGGTGGTCGCATCCATAGGCGCTCATGTTGGGCTTCTGGTGTTCCTTGAAGGAATGCCGTCTTCACATCTCCAGCCCATAGATGCCACTTCTTTCCGGTGTTCTCTACATTGGAATTGAGGCCGCTGCATGCCAATTGCAAGAGGACACTCTTGGAGAACTTGGATGGAGTTGGTGATGCACGACCTAAGCTTGCCAGGTCGGGGTCATGGTGACCCAGGATCACGGTGCGGCATTTGGCAATGATGTCCTCGATGCCAGGACCTGCGCCGTGATTCTTGTTACGGTAGGCATTGCGGGCTAGTATCACCCGTTTCTTGAGCACTGGATCCGCGAGGATGATCTCGGCTTCAGCGTCCTCGACTGGAACGACACCGTTCCATTCCATCCAGGAGCGGTACTCCTTCTGGTTGGCTGCGATGTAGAGGTCAAGGATCTTGGGGTTCCCATTGACGATGGTCCGCCAAGGGATCTCTCTATCCATTGCTTTGCGTTGCTGCCGTGTCATCTTGTTGGTTTGTTTGTCGTTCTCATCGTTGCTTGAACTCTCGAGGATGTCGTCATCTTCCTCGACGTTGGCAGCTGTTGCGCGGTAAACCCAGGAGGGTTTTGGCACAGGCATGCGCTCGCTTGTGATGGGGTTGCCATCCCATGCATCTGGTGGTGTTGTGGCTTGTACAGGCTGTCCTTCATCTGTTGTAGCGATGAGGGATGTCCATGTTGTTTTGCCGTGCTTAGCAAAGTGTGTTGTGCCTGTCCACCATGTTGTGATGTTCTGTTTTGCTGCAGGTGTGTCAACCATCCAGTTGTCATGGATGGGAGTGCTGGCTTGTCCATCGATTGTTGGACATGTGGTCCGCTTGCCTGTCAGCTGTTATTTTGGTACTGGTAGTTTGTCGAACTCTCCAGGCGTGCAGAGAAGTTGTCTTGGAATGACGTGGTGCCTGATGAATTCATATTTATCGTTTTGCCAGAAGTCCTTGCCATGGTGATGTTTCACCTGTAGTGTTGTTGTTGGCTGTTCAGCCATGCTCTGGTCCATCTGCTGGTCTGTTGCTGCTGATGCTTCATGTGCTGCTTCGGCCAGTGATGGTTGCGATGCATGAGGTGCTGATGTTGATGCTTGTTCAGCGTGAGGTAGTGATTGAAGTTCATGAGGTCTCTGCATCTCAGGTTGTAGTGGTTGTTGGTGTTGCTGTTGTGAGGTTTGTATGGTCCTGTGGAAGGTTGTGGTGGATGAAGTCACGTGTGGTTGTAGACGTGGTAATCGCTCACGATCAGAGTGGTGGTGATAGTGTTGATATATGTTCTGTGTGTTTGTCTGTTTGTATGTAGGTGAAAACACCTGCGGTGCTGCTTCTTGTCCTTGTTGATGCCCAGGTGATGCCTGTGGAGCCATTGCTTGTATTGGTAGACGTAGTGCTTGCTCTTGTGGAGCAGGTGGTGCCATATCGATGTCGGCCAGAGGTGGTACTAGATCAGGAGGGCCGCCAGGTGTTTGTGGTGCCATTGAAGGTTCCAATGCTTCATCATCTGGTGGTCCTTATCCCCTTTCATCGATCCATAGATCGTCTTGGAGGCGCTGCCGGGCATCCTTAAGGCATCGGATGTCCTCGTGTAATGGTACCCAACCCTCGAGTCCGAAGGCTGGACGGAGTTGTTCATAGGTCACTTGGACCAGGGAGCCGCCTGTCTGGAGCCATGCTGTGTTGCTGGTTGCGTCGTGCTGGACAAGTCGTCCGAGTGCATAACCTCCACGTTTCTTGCCGGAGGCCTTTTTGCTCCAGCGCCAGTATGCTGCCAGTGCTCCTGGTAGGATTTGTTGTGCTTCTGCTTTGCTTGGTGGTGTTTTCCTGAGGATGGCACGTCTGATGGTCTGTGATGCTCGCATCTCATTGATTGCGTGCAGGGTTTGTACTCTTAGTTGTTCTGCCATCATGTATCGGTCGTTGACTGTTAAGGCGTGTTCGTTTCCAAGCAGGTCACCTGGAAATCGAGGCAGCTTGCCAAACACTGCCTAGTATGGACAGCGTCCTTTGGTTGCTGTGGTGCTGTTTATGGCTTGTGTTGCTGCCACCAAAACGAAGTCAATCCCTTCGCCACTGACGATGCCGTGGTTGTCAACGAGCTTCTCCACGACAGTTCGAAGGACTGAGTTGCGTCGTTCGACAGCTCCAATTCTCCAATGCGCCTCTGGTGGTACTACGACCACGTGGATTCCAGCTGCAATGCTGTGCTCCTTGAAGACACCTGAGAAGGGTGTTCCGGCATCCAGTTCCAGCATCAGGGGGTACCCGTATGGTTGAAACCACATGGTTCGAAAGCTATCCCACACATGCTATGCATTCAAACTCACCAGGCGGATTGCCTGTTGAAAGTTGGTGGCAATGTCAACTGCTCCGAGTATTGGATGGTTGCCGCCGGACAGGTCTCTTGTGTAGAAGATGTCGGCCTGGATCCTCTCTGAGAACTGGCCGTTGAAGTGTGGGATTGCCGCTGCCTTTGGTGGGGAAGGTCGAGCATTGCGTTCACATGACCCGCACTTCATGTGCTCCAAGGCCGTCAACACACTTGCATTGATGGAGCCGTGCATTGACAGGAGTCTGATGGTCTCCTGCTTGTTTGGGTGTCCGGCTCCGATGTGAAGCCTTGCAAGAGATGCTCGAACTGAGGCTGGCAGAGTCGGTGGGGCGCCAACAAACGTGATGTCTGTGGACAGTCCTGGCAGTGGAAGATGCACAGGTGGATCTTGCTGCTGCTATTATTGTTCTTGGGGCTGATCGGCAGCTGCAAATCCGTAGAAAAATATTGCTGCCCTCACTGGCTTGTCGAACCTCTGCTTTGGAAATTGGTTCACCACCATATCTTCCATTTCGATGGAAACGGTGTCATCGTTGTGCAGGAGGATGTTGCCTCGATGCGTGTGAGGTAGCTCTCGTGGCTGTCGCCTGGTCACAGGCTTGCTTGCAATCTGAATTCTGCCAATTTCCCAAGGGATCAATGCACTGACGCGGTCGTAAAGATCATGACCAGGTTGTAGTGTCAGAGATCGCGCCGAGCCACGTCGAAACACTTGATCCACTTCTTCAAGAAGGCGGCGCCAAGTGGTCTCGTCATCGGTTGGCTGCGCAAAGAAAACCTCCTTGGGTATTGGCTCAAAACGATGTGCATTCCAGTGACGTGCTTCTTTCTGAAGTGCTTTCAACAATGCCTCCACCATCTTGGTGGGGTATTCCTGAGAGCGAGTGACGTTCGCTCCTTCCAAGGGTGTGCGCTGTGCTCTCTCTTCGCTGGAAAGCTGATGTCCAAGCGCTTCAGCGATCGCCTGGCTATTGGTGATCAGCTTGTAGGTCTTGATGGTCATGTTGCCCTTGTTGTCCACTGCTCCGAAGTAGCCTCCATCGCACTTGACGATGTAAAGGTTGTGGTCGCTGATGAGTCGGCTGCGGAGAGGATTCTCGAGCAGGATGAGGCGTCCCTGCTTGAGCTGTTGTTCGAGTTTGCTGAGGACCCATTTCAGCAAAGGTTTCTGAAGTTCTCGCAGCTCCCAAAGTTCTTCCCCAAAGTTCTTCCATTCGTGAGCTATAGTTGAGGTTCTCATTCATGATGCACAGGAGAGTGCACGGGAACCCAACCATCAACAGCAAGGGCTTGAACTTATTCAGGGCAAAATCGACGGTCTTCTGAATGGCCTTGGACGCTAAGTCACGGCCATCCTCAATTTCGAAGGGCTGAAGGGCAGTCAGTCCAAATCGTCTTGCCATGCTGGTAGGCTTTGAGGTCCCAGCAAATAGCTCCATGAGGTCAATGTTGAAATCCTTGCCCATGTCGCCTGCTAGGTTATTGATGGCACCTATCTCGGACTCAAGCATGTAGACCGCTTTGTTGATGTTTGACCGCTTTGTTGATGTTTCCAACCAATCTTTTCCTTCGCCCAGACGGTAGAAGCTGCCGTCCGACATTGTGAATGCCCCTGATGGCACTGGAATCTCCATGTTGCGGTTGACCATCTCCTCGTCGTAGTCCTGGATCTCGTCCGGCTGAAGTCCATGGCCTGCGACTGATGATGTCAGCGAAACGGGCCGCGCTCGAGTCCAGGTTTCCTTGTCTACCTCCATGATGCGAATGGCCTGAGGTGGTGCCAGTGTGGTGCCAGTTGTGAAGGTGTTCCCGGTATTGTGGTGGGAACCGGGCCCTCCGACTGTCTTGCCTGCGGTGGAAAGAGCATCTGTGATGATGCTGCTGCCGGAGCTGGGGCATGGTACTGCATGTAGTAGTCGGTCATGGATGGGTACTGCATTGGAGGCGGTGGCCTGAACGATGGCAGCGGTAGCGAGTAGTTGGATGAGCCACCATGCAACTTCCATCCGCCTCCCACCCACTTCCATCTGGCCTGGCACGTTTGGCATGTTGCGAAACTGCCGTGGCGATTTCCGTGCCTTTTGAACGTCGGGTGGTTGCACTCGTCCATCTGCCGCTGTTTGTACTCGATGGCAGCCGCCTTCGAGCTCATAGCCTTCGTCTTTGGTTTGGTCTTTGCGGCAGCTTTGGTGCGAGCTCCCAACTTGTAGGTCTCCTTGTCCTCGTCCGGCTCCTTCTCGGTGTCCACGATGTTGAGTCTCGATGCCGTGTGAAGTGTCAGCCCGGCCTGGCGGATTGTCTCGAGGAGTCTCTCCACCAGTCGGCGCCATCGATCCACTCGGCGCTGTTGTGCCCCCAGGTGCATCAGGCAGGATGCGGTCAAGCAAGGTGACGTCCCGGCGAGCTTGAGCAATCTGGACAACGGAGGGCGGTAGATTCACTTCAGGATCAAGGAATCCAACTTCTGTGATTTTGGCCCACACTGCTAGTCTTTCAGGTTTTGGGGGAAATTGTGTGATCTTCGTGGCGAGGTGGCGACCGACAACTGCAAGAGGCACTGACATGTCAAACTTGCTCAAAAACACAACTTGCTGAGGGAGGTCGATCACGGCTCTGAGCTTGTTCATGGTTGCGAGACTTCCCAAAAAAGGTATTGAGGTCTCCAAAATATACGATCCCAAAACGAGGCAAATCGCACCTTCGAAGGCTGAAGGCAGCATTGCAAGGGTCTTGGACTTGAGAGGGCTGCCTGAACCAAATTGAAAAATCTCTTCTTTGGACATCTCAAAGGGGTGGAGGTGAAAAGTGCCGAGGTGACGAGCATGTTCATGGTACCACTCCAACCCACAGCATGAACGTTGGCAGGCCGTGTCAATGATCATATACCCCGTGGCTTCAGTGGCTGCAAGAAAACATGACTGGGTGATGTGGTTCATGAGGACATGGTTGGTGAGGACAAACTGTGAACTTGCAGGTTCATCTTCAAGGAGATTCTCTACGTCATGGTCCACCCCGTTGCCATAGCTGACAGTGAACACCTTTTTGCCGCTCGACGATGGTCCATTGCCACCCTTGGAGCCTTTGGCGTTCCCCTTCGAGGATTTGCCTTTGCCACCTTTTGTGGTTGTTCCTTCAGCTCCAGGGCACTCTGAATCACCGCTCCAGTGACCCATCTGGCCACACACGGCGCAGCAGCTGGTCTTCTTCCGCTCTGCTATGCTCTTTGAGGGCTGCCCTGACCACTTCCTTCCCAAGGTGATTGCTGCCAATTTCTTGGCGGTCACAGTGAGCACCTGGGTCAGGTTGTCGATGTCGGGGTCGTCGCCTTCTGGTTGTTCATTGTCAACCGCTAACTCTTCTGGTGGCGGTTCATCAAAATCAGCAGTTTCGCCTTCTTGGTCTTCTTCCTCAATGGCGTTGAGATCATCGCCAGGGTCATCGTCTTGTTCAGCCGACTCTGCATTGCTCTCGGCTGTGGTCTGGAAGACCTTCTTCGTGAACTTGCCATTGCCCTTGCGTGCTTGTCCAAAACCATGGCCTGATTGGCCACCAAAACTCTTGCCTCCTCCTTTGCCATAGCTCGGCCCCTTGCCTGGCCGGTGTTGAAGTTGACCATGGACAAAAAGAGGTGGAGGTGCCTTGTGCTCGGGGTACTGCATGAGCAATGCGCTCTTCACCGAGTCGAAGTCGAGCCGCTGGCCCGTGCCGACTAACACGAGCCGTTGAGCCTCTGGTGACAGTTTGGCTCTGTCCAACAACCTGCTGCCGCGGCTTTCTTGGTCGTATGTCAGTGAGACATCTATTCCCACCGAACGAAGTGATGCTTCTATGCGGCGATATCGGTTCGTGTAGTTGCGCATGCTCTCGTTTGCAGTTCTTGAGACTTGTTCATACTCAAAAAGGAATTGCCGCTTGATGTAGACGGGCTTCTCCTGGAAGGGACCACGAAGCTGGTCAAGCACATACTGAACTCCATCTCTGCTGTAGACCTTCTCGATGTCAACGTACTCGAGTTCGGCCTCAGCATCTCCTTTCAGAGATGTGTACAGGGCCAGTCCGGCCTCGGAGCTGCTCATGTAGTGCTTGGCCTGGAGAGCCCAAATGTTGACCTTCTTCTCAAAACGTTCAAAAGCGCGAACGTCCCCACTGGTGTAGTGCCACACCGGTGGTTGTGGAGGAGCTCCTCCACGGTACTTGACACCAGGCTGCATGCCTTTCAGTGAGTTCCATGTTTGCGAAGAGCTGGAACTGGAGTTGGAGCGCTGTGCATTATTGCCACGTTCCTGTAGGAGTCGTTGAAGTGCCGTCAGAAGATCAGCTGCAGCATCTCTCGGCGGACCATTGTCAGCCTGATTACCTGCTGGCCGCCTGCCGTGACCTCCAGGTTGGTTGCCACGTCCGGGTCCCTTGCCTCCAGGGTGATTGCCACCAAGTCGATCAGAGAGATGTGATCTCCGACCATCTTCTGACGGTTCAAGGCATGGATCATCAGTCCTGGCTTCTTCTTCACCAGGTTCAAAGCCATCGCCTCCGTCATCACCGTCCGGATCACCGTCTGGATGATGTCGACGGCGTCGCCTTCGACGATGATGTTGAGTCGTAGAAGACGATGAACCTGAAGGTGGTTTCTCTGAGGGAGTTCGGTCGTGACGCTCTGGTTGGTTGTCAGGTGGTCCGTTGGGAATGTACATCCATGTTCCATGATCGGTTTGCATCCTTCTAGGTTGGTTGGGCCTGTAGAACTCATTGTGTCCACACATACTGCATCTCCAGTCGCCCACAGCTGCGGACCACATGTGCTCTTGTGAGTTGCATCTCAAACATGCCCATGGGTCTTCCAGCACTGCGCCTTCGTGACCATGAAGGGGTCCAGGGCGCTGTTGGTGTTCAGCATGAAGTCCAAACGGGGTGAAGCCTTCATGTACATGGCCTCTTCCACCTGGCCTCATGAAGTGGAACTGGAAAGGGCTATTGGCGTACCCGCAAGGAGCTTGCTCAAACACATGGGGAGCTTGTGGAGGTGTGAAGACATCTCGAAACATCATGTCAGGCATCGGTCCGTGGGCGGTCAACCTAGGGTCATGACCTTTTCCAGTCATTCCGCTAAAGGGACCGCAAGGAAGCCCACCACCTATGTGACCTGCTATCCTTCCATCCAGTGGCTCGTCAGCTCGACCGTTTGGGCGCAGGGTGGTAGGGAGCTCATCGAATGAGGGCTCGGATCGATCCTCAGCCGACAAGTCCTGGCGTAGCTGAGGAAACCACATGCCGCTCGCATTCGGCATGGCTGAAAGGCCCCGGCCTCGTGAGGCTCCGGTGCCAACTTGTGCACACGGCGGTGCACGGAAAGGTGCAAAAGGCCGGCACGCCTTTTCTCAGAAAAAGGGCACGCTCAAGGGATCCGCTATGGTCCCGTGTTGGTCC